CGAACTGCAGACACAGCAGAACAAGCTGGTGCAAATGAAGGGTGTGTCATCCCGTCAGCAGCCTGTCCTGGTGAAAACCCTCACCACACCTTCGCACACAAAGGTCTTCCCCGCCCAAGGGAGGAAGCTAAAGCGAGGAAAAGAGAGCCAGCGCTTATGCATTGGAAATCAATAACTTTACAAATATTAAACGCCCACCTGTGCAAGATACTATCTGGACCGTGGGGTGTACCAGGGAAATAAGAGAGGGGGCCCCCTTCCAGAGGCCGTAAGCAGCTCAGTGGACATAAAGAGACGCTAACAACACCAGGTGTGTGAGATGCAAACCTGAGGCCCACACAGAAGGGTTGAAGACAGATCTCTGACGTTTTTGTCTAAGTTCTGCTTGACGTGGAGGTGATTACACGGGACATCCGGCGGAGACCTTGTTTCCAGCTGGGGTTTGCCGTTGGCGTCTGAAGGGCTGCGTTAAGTGATATTGATTAAGTGTCTACCATGGGCACAGCAGCAACCCTAAGGTGTTAGCGCTGCTTGTCCGATTCTACGGACCAAGAAATGGGGAGGGGGCACTCAGAGAGGTTAAGCAACATGCCTAAAGCCACACAGCAGCAGACAGCAGAGCTGGAGTTCAAACCCAGGATCCTCACGTGAGGACTGGATGCTTTCCGCTAGGACACACAGTGTTATCTCCTTATGCAAAGACTCTTTTTTTGGCTGGACTTTCTCTTTAATTAGAGTAGAATTCCTGTGATCCTTTGTGCACAACCCCCATCTTCTCCGGGGGGGTTGGGGCGGCGATGCCACTTGACCCCAACAAGCACAGTGTACTTTGACCTTTCAAGGACAGGCTCTACACCCTCCATGCATGTGGGTTCCCTGCAAAGGGACCCCCAGCCCCCCAGCTCTGTAGGTCTACCCCGGAGAAGTCTGCAGAGACCGTGCATCTAGCAAGGAGACTCTCACCCCTCAAAGCCCCTCTGTCCTTTCTTCTGCTGCCTGCAGAACTGCCCAGGGGGCTGATGTCGGAGAAAGTACAGCTTTGACCTCAAGCCTCAAAACACCTCGGGGTAAAAATAAGAAAGTCTGAGGTCCACACACCAGGCTGCTTCCTGCCTCAGAGTTTCCACCAGCCCTGGAGGCCTTTCGAGATGAAGTCTCTGGGAGCCCCGGCAGCCGCGGGAAAGCAGGAGCCTCAGGCCTCTGAGGGGCGGTTTCACTTGCTGGTGTCATGCTCGGGGGCCGTGGTGGAAGCATCGGGTCAAAGCTGGAGGCAAGGACACCCTACCCCCAGCGCCACCTCTCTCTGTTCCCGCAGGAGGAAACCCGAAATCTGCCTGCTTCTAGATACTGACCTGCTCCCTGACTGAAGTCATGGGCAAAGTCCTTTTCAAACGTGTGGAAACGTGCCCAGAAGTGTCACTGATGTACCGGTCCTTGTGATATTTCACAGAACACAGGGTCCCACGACTACAAATGCATTTTCGGTTGTTCACCGCATGGCTTCAGAGCATGGATCTGGTGCACCTTCGAAACGCAGAAGAGAGAGACCAGGGCACCTTGCTGCTGGGGCCTCAAAGCATGCTCGTGAGGCTGCGGACCAGCCCTGGGCCCTGGAGAGAAGTCGTCTGAGCGGAGGGCAGTGTGGCCCGAGTGGCCCGCTCCACGTTCCCCTGTCAGGTCCCTGCCCCGCGCCTCTGATCTGCGTTCTCGGAGCAGAGGCTCACCTACCAACACGGCCGGCTGCCGCCCCGGGCTTCCTCCTCCTTCTTCCTCCCCAGCCTTGCTCCCTTCTCTCCTCGTCTTCCTGTGAACCTGCAGGCTTTCTTACCATCGTCCCCTCGGGCCCGGCCCGCTCTGCCATTCTCCCTTCCAACCCGCCTCCCCATTCCCCAAATCAAAAAGTAACTCATGGTTTCCTTCCACCTCTCCTTTGCTGGGATTACATCTCCCTGTGATTCATGCACCAAAATGCACGCTCCGTGTCCCGCTTCTGCGTCATAGAAACCCCAAGCAGCGGGGCCAGACTCTGGAAGGAGACCCGTTGGTTCGCTCACTGGGCAGATGTGTGGAAAGCTCACCGCATGCGGGCGGCGTGTGCTGGAGACTCACCGATGGGCATGACACAAGCCCTCTCAAAGAATCACAGCGGGTGTGCAAATGAGCGATGGCGAAACCAGGTGAAAAGCACAGGAACGTGGGTCCATTCCACAGCAGGGACCTGCGTTCCGCTGGGAGAGGTGGGGCAGGGCGGCCACCTGGGCTGACCGTATCGCCTGCCATCACCAAGTGCTTCTTGGCTAACCAGCGACTGAATGCAGTTCTGTGACAATGGAATGTTCTTATCGTAACACCTTAGGTCATTAGAGCTTTTGCTTCAGCAAATGCTCATCGAAAATCCGCCCCATGTTAGCACAACCGCAAACCCCAGTCTTGACATGAAGCATTCCAAGAGGCACCGCGGACGCTCCAAGTTTCTCCCAACCCAGATAACAAAATGGTAGCCAAACAGTGAAGACTATGCCAATGGAGAAGAATTGTGCACCCGGATGAAGCAAAGGGTCTGTCTTTGAAAGCACAGAGGACTCCGGAACTGGAATCCGCTGGGGGTCACCATGACATCACCGTCCCTGTGGCAAAGGCGATCTGCTGACCAGGCTTCCAAGGCCAGCGCAGGCGAAGACTGCATTTCGTGATCGCCGAGGCTGGGGCTCCCCGCTGGCCAGCCCCGGAGCGAGACCACCCTTCCCAGGTTTGGCCAAGTGGTCCAGCCGCGGCTCCTGGAGACCGTCAGCGCCTCCGGTGTGCTCTGCGCACGGCTCTGGAATCCAGATGCTCCTCAAGAGCCGGTGTGATCAATTGATATGCATTTCAGAACAATTTAAATCTGTCATTCCTAATTGCGCTTTTTTGAAAAGCTGCCCTGCAGAGCTGATAGGAAAACGAGAGCTGGAGGGGAGCAGTATCCTTTGCTAATGCAAGAGGTCTGTGCCCTTTCCAAAGTTCTTTGCCGCGGTGCGAGTCGGAAGCCGCGGTGGGTGGTGGGTGTGTGGCAGGGCTGGGGATGGCGAAGGGGTGATGCTTGCCGTGCCTTCGGTCTCCAGCTTCAGTCGATGTGCTGTGCTCCCCACTGCCCCCATGCCCCGACGTCTACTGATGCCTCCCCCCTTCCTTCCTAAAAGATACCAGGTCGAGACAATTTTATCCCACAGAAACCACTGGCCCTTTGCCTGGGTCACCTGGAAGTAGATGGACGGAGCCCCTCGAGGAGCTCCAGGTATGATTACAGGTGGCCTGGTCCCTGAGGAGATGGTTGGGGGAGGTTGGTGGTGCTCTGGGGTGACAGCGAGGAGCTTGGCTGTCACGTGAACTGGGGCTGGCGGGGGCGGGGGTGGGCTCCTGTGGAAGAATGAGGGCTGAATGAGAGAACAGAAAGATTCCAGTGGACGTGGCAGAGGCCGGAGATGTGACTCGAGATCGAAAAGTGAGGAGCACAGCTCAGGATCCGAGGCAGGACTGCAGCAGGCAAGCAAGGTAAATCGCCTTGCCCTTGCGCTGCAGGCTAGAAATGTCATCTGTTCATCACATTTCCTGGGCTGTGCCTTATCTCCTCATGGTCACCGACCCCTCAGAGGGCACTCTATACATGGGAGGTCCTCAGTCCTTACTGATCTCTTATTTACTGTGGTTTTGGATCTAGAAAAAAAAAAAGGAACCGGCACAAATAGAAGAGGCAGTTGCTCAGATTGAGGGGCTCAAGTTTGAGGCTGGGGCCAATATGACTTTCTTAGAAGGCTTGGATCTCATTTGTTTGAAAGGAAATCAGTTTTACACATAGTAGGGATTTTATTCTTCTCATGAACTAAGAACTCAGAGGTTAAGCTTGGACCCAAAATACTTGTGGCATCCTACTCAGCTATACTTAGAGTGTGACCTTTGTCTTCATGCTCACAAAATAGCTGCTCTGCAGCAGAACATTGCATCCACATTCCAGGTAGGAAGACAGGGACAAATAAAAGGCTCTTCTGCCCTGATTCTGCCGCCACCCCTCTACAGAGCCCTTCTAAACGTCTCCAGAAACTTCTGCTTCCATCTCACTGGTCAGAACTGTGTCACATAGCCATCTCTAACTGCAAGAGAGGCTGCAAGCATAGTTGTTCGAGGGGCATGGTAATGCTCCCCACAAAATTGGAACTCTGTTGATAGACAAGAGAGAAGGGATGTTAGGTCGGCAGCCGGCAATGTCTGCCACTCCACTGTGAATCTAAAACGATAATTGCTGCTTTTAAAATATGTATCAGGGAAGCTCTGTTGATTGCTGTACACATGTTAATTGATGGGAAATACTATCATCTCAATATTTCAGTTGAACGAGCTGAAGAAGATAGGTTAGATAGTTAACTGGGATCCCAGGGAAGAATCCTGCTGGGGGAATTTTCTAGCTGTTTCTCTACATGTCCTTTTTATAGGAATGGGGACTGCAGCGGATGAGGCCCACAGGAAGGGAGGGCTCTGGCCCTTTTCCATAAAGCTTCATTTCCAGGGCCATGAACACATAGATGGCTGGACCAGTGTCTCTTCAGTCCTTCCTCACAGGCAGTAGATCATCCTTTTAAATAATATTTTTCCCTTTTTTTTTTTTTTTTGCCAGAAATCCTTTCAATTAAATGGAGGTTTCTTTGGAATAATTAAACCCTCCATCTCAAGCCTTTTACTCCAATCATCCAGGCAAATCAATTAAGCAGAGATGCATTTATCTGACTGATTGCTGACCCCCTTCTGGTTCCAGAACTTTTGCCCCGGGGGTAGCTCTTGGAGAGAGGAGGTGTCTGCCCACAAACACGGCTCTTTTCCAAAGGGCTAGGCACTCCCTGGATTTGAAATAATAGTAGCCTTATTGTTTATTTTATGCAGGATTTGATTTTTATTTATTCACCCAACAAATACATACTGAGCAGCTACTAAGAGTAAGTCCCCATGCTAGGTTCTGTGGGAGATGAGACAGACATGTGGCAGGTAGCTGAGCCTCCCTGAACTTCTCTTCTATAAAATGGTGATAGTGGTACACACCTTATAGCACTGTTGTATGAAAGGAGCTAATCCACAGGGAGCGTTTAGCATAGTGTCTGCCCACAGCACTACCATGTCCGTTTCCATAGACACCTATTAGAGGATATACTCCTGCAGAAAGAGGGAATAAAGCCGTAAAGAGAAAGATACAGAGCCCAGGAAGCAAGGAATCTAATTGCTTAGATTAGATGCTATGCTTAATAAATATTAGTTGTGATGATTGCTAGTTTAAGTAAGATCACATGAGTCGGAGTCAATGAGGGCTGAGTTGGAATCCTTGCCACTTAGTGAAGCTGTGAGATCTCACCCCATTATTTAACTTTCTGATCCTACCTCCTCCTCATAAAGTGAGAATAATAAGACCTAGAATAATGGAACCTACCTGAGTTCCTGGGAAGTGAGGTGACATCTGTGAAGTGCTCAGCACCCAGGCAGTACTTCTGGTTTATGACGAGGCGAGCTGTCTGACAAGCACTACAAAAGGTAGACAGTGTTAAGTGTACAGAGAATGGATTCTTTATACTTAAATGTATCGTCCGTATTTCCAACTATTGACATATGTTAATTTGTGTTCATTTTTTTGCCAGGATAATACATGTATGGAGAGTTGAAATGTAAAGTAGGCTTGTAATAAAAACATCTGTTTCCAGTCCTGATCCCCAGAGGCAACTACTTCTAACTCTTCACTGTTGTTTTCTTCTGTTATTTACCTCATTTCTAAGTAATAGGTTTGCATTGCTATTTACAGATATATCCACTTTAAGGCATTATTTACTGACATACTCTTAGGTAAAGGAGCATTTAGCCCTCTTTTCTGAGTACCCCACTCCATGCATCTCCCCTTCCTTCATTGTCTCCATGCATTTAGATCACAGTTGTATATGTAACATTATTATCACTAGGTAAATATTGTTTATGTTGAGGCAAGTTGTATGCTGTAATTATTTCCTTTCTTACCTTTTTGTTTTCTCCTGGAGTTAATATTGCCTCTTTTTTCCATTTGTTGAGGTTTTTATTATGTGCCTATCCTTCACTATTTTTCCATCTGACTCACAGTCCTGTCATTTGCCCGACAATATTATTTCCTAAATTATGAAATATATCAGATGACCATTCCATTTTCCCCCTGGCCACCTCCCTCTACTGGGCCCTCCGTGATCCTGCCATAATCTTGGCCAGCTCCTTTTTGCCACCTCTCTCTCATCCTGGGATTTCCTTACTGCTTTGTCCAATTAGATTTTCTGCTTCCTGAGCTCTATACCTTCCTCTTTACTGTTTTATTCCCTCATTTTACTCGAGCATATCCTCTAGTAGCTTCCTAAGAAAGGGTACATGGGAAATAAATGTTTAGAGTCAGGACGCCTGGGTGGTTCAGTTGGTTAAGCTTCTGCCTTAGACTCAGGTCATGATCCCAGTGTCCTGGGATGGAGCCCCGCATCGGGCTTCTTCCTCAGCAGGGGGCCTGCTTCTCCCTCTGCCTGCCGCTCCCCCTGCTTGTTCTTTCTCTCTCTCTTTTTCTCTCTCTGACAAATAAATCAAATCTTTAAAATAAATAAATATTTTGAGTCTCTACCTTTCTGAAAATAATATCATTCTATTTTCATGCCTAATAATTGGGGGAGGGGTGTAATAGAATTCTAGGTTAAAAAGTATTTTCCATCAAAAATGTGAAGGCATCACTTCATTGTCTCCCAGCTTCCAGTATTGCTATTGAAATGTCTGATGCCAAACTTACTCCTAGTCCTTTACATATGACCTTATTTGTCCTCTCTGGAAGCTTTTAGGGTCTTCTCTTATTTCCTGATGGCCTAAAATTTCACAAGGATGTTCTGAGAAGGTTATTTTTCCACTGATTGTACTGAGCACCCGAAGGGCCATTTAAATCTGAAGACTCATGTGCTTACATCTGGAGAATCCTCTAATATTATTTCTCTGATAATTTCATCCCTAACTTTACATTCTATCTCCAAAAGCTAGACAAGAAAGGAAACATAACCTCTGCACTCTCTTTGCAGGATTTCTATTTATTGGATATTAGACCTAAATTAACCTCATTTCCCCCACCATTTCTTATCTTTCTTCTCTTTAACTTTTTACTAACTTTTTGGAAGATTTCCTCAACTTTTTCTTCCAAACTTACTATTGATAAATTTCTGGTACTTTAATTGCTAAGAACTCTTTCTCGTTCTTTGATCATTCCTTTTTCATAGCATCCTACTATTGTTTTATAGATGCAATATCTTATTTAATTTCAATGGATTTTAATTATCAGGTTGTGGGGTTGTTGTTTTTTTAATTTTTTCTTATTCTGCATTGTCTGCTTCCTGCAAGTTCTTTGTATCAACTTGTCTCTTTTGATCTCTTCCTTTCACATGAAGACTTTCTTCAAACATCAGGTGATTCTTGGCTCTCTGTTTATTCTTAAGTAGGAAGTGACAAAAGCAGTGCGTACAAGTTCTGCTCGTTGATTAAACAGCTTCACCATAGGGCGAATGGGCACCGACTGTGTTTGCATAACACACTTATAACTCACTAAGCAGTTGATTCCTCTATTGAGAAGCAATAGTTGTTCTTTTTAATCCTGAGCCAATAGGTGCCATCTTAGAAAGTGGTTTTAGTTCCGTCTTAAGTTTTGCGTGTAAAAGTGCTATTTCAGGGAGTGTACGTACATACACTTTCTGATTCTAGTCCTTCTAAAAGTAAACTTTTATTTTTTAAAAGGTGATTCTAGGGGCTGTATGGTAGTAAAAGTAAGTCAGAGAACCTTGGGTCCAAATCCTGCCTTCCATGCTAATTATATGACCTTGAACCTCTCTCGGGTTTGGTTTTCTTGGCTATAAAACGGTGATGATGATAGCAATAATAATAATAATAATACCACCTATCTCAAGAGAGTTTTTGAGTTTATCAATTATGCTTAGCAAGTGCCTGGCACATAGTAAATAATCTATAAGCATAAGGGATGATGTTTCAGCCAGTTGAATGTTATACCAATAAGCTAATCTCTCGAGAGACATATCCTATAAGTTTTTCCAACCTTATGACCAAGTTCTTGAGGGTGTAATCAGAATTCTAACAGCAGAAATAGAAAGTTCAGCCTCATTACTGGTTGTCTTGTGTCTCAGTTTTTCCAACCTATGTTGACACATTGGGTAGTTGTACAACCCTGTGAAAATGTTTTTCCTTTCTTGTAACTAAAATCTTTCTTACAATTAATTTTGTAAAAAGCCTTTTCTTCTGATTATGAAAGAAATGCATGTTCTGTTGCTTTTAAATGCAAATGCAGAGAAGTATAATTTCCCTTTGCCTCTGCTCATTGGCCTGCTGGTCTCTGCTGGGCACTGGGCCCCGCACATCGCCGGCTTCCCCAGCCCTCGCGCACAGTGCTGGGCAGCAGTATAGCTCCTCCTGTCCCAGCCGCAGAGCAGGGAGGCCGTGAGAAGACAAAGGAGATGGTGTCCTCCAGAGAAGCATGTCACTGCCACCTCCCCGGGGCAGAGGGCCTGTGACAGCTCACTCCGATCCAAGCTGACACCCGACAAGAGCAGCTTCTACCAGCCCTGGGAGCTCTGGTGTCACCTGTGATTAATTCTCAGAGCTGAAACCAAGCGAGTTCCTGATTAAACAGCGATGTCCCAGGGTCCCTGTCACTGCCGAGGAAGAGCGGCCGGCCATGGAGCAGCTGCCTGAAGCCCCCACCAAAGGGATCCCAGCCGCTGTCGGGCGGGACAGGTGTCAGGCCTGGTGTCCAGCCCCACGTCACCGTCGCAGGGGTTGTTCCTCGCCTTTCCGCCTCCCCGGTCTTCCTTCCCCGGGCTCCTGGAGTGGCTGAGCTGGGCACTGACGACGGCCTCGTCCCTCACCGTGAGGAGCACCACCTTGGGGAAATTACAGTGCGTGCCATGGTGTGTTCCTGCCCAAACCCACGGCGTGCCGGGGGCTGAAGACGTAATTCACAGTGAAAGGAACCCTTCTGGGCTCAGGAATGCGGTTTGCCGCCTTTGACCTAATGAATTAGTAGCTGATTAGAATGTCTCCACTCTGCAAACACTCCTATCAGCGACTTTGTGAAGACCTTCCACCCTGGTCAGGACTAACCCCAAGGCTACCATCTGCCCTCCTCCCCGGTCCCAGAGGTCTCAGGACCTGTGGCCAGTGGCCTTACAGACTGGCCATGGGCTGCGACAAAAACCCTTCTCCCCAGCAGCTCCTGGCCACGGTCCGCTGCGTCACTGTCACGGGGAGAGATGGGCACCCCAGGATTTTCTGACCTTTCCTTCCAAAGCAGGGCATCACTTTGATACTTGAGTGGTTCTCTCTCTCTCTCTCTCTCTCTCTCTCTCCAAACTCCGTCCTTGTGCCAAGTCAGATTATCTTTCCTTTTACAGATTCCGGCCATCGCAGCTCTAGATCCCGAGGAAGACTGGCTCGGGGCAGGCCAGGCAGCGGCCTGGAGGCGCAGAAGTCAGAGCTCCATCACGGGACAGCAGCCGCTGTCTACTGAGCAACGACTGTATGCCAGGTACTTTGCTTGCGTTATTGCCAGTAGATTAAAAAACAAAACAAAAACGCTAAGTGAGGCTTACCTAAGACTTGACAGGGGCACGGTGGGGGAGGTTCTAGGCAGAGGGAGATGCGGGAGCAGGTTTGGTGAAGAGCCCAGGACACAGGACGAGACTCCGGGAGCCAGCAGGAGCAAACCCGGCAGGGCCGAGGGGTCACGATAAAGAGGTTGAACTTCATTGTAACAGCAATGGGGGGCCACACGGTAAACATTTCGAATCAGTGAGGGAGGCGAGGGAGACCAGCCACTGCCACGGAGTTTGCCCACGGGCAAGTCGTCTCCCTGTCTTGTAAAAAGCTGAGCAAAATGGCCCTTCCTGTAGAACCTGACCCAGCAGCCTTGAGCTTGCTTTTCCCGCTGTTTGTAAAAAGGCCCATGGGGTCGAGGCTTCGACTCGGGACGGACACCAGCCCCGGCTGAGGGTGGGGCAGAGCCGCCTCCAGCGCTGACCCTGATGGAGGGGAGGGAGGGCCATCCGGCACCGCAGGCTGAGGCTGTCGGCGTCTCGGCGTCTGAGGGCGCGATTCTGGGCAGACCGTTCTCAAGGAAGCTGCCAGAGCTGGACACCAGCTGCCGGATTCCTCCCAGAAGACCAGGCGGAGTCAGGCGGAGTCACAGCCAAGTGTGCGGGGAGGAATTGCATCTGAGATTGTGTCCGAAATGGTTTTTTTCTTCAAGGCTAGCTACACTAGCCGTAGTTTTTGCCCAAGAAACACTTGGTGCGTTTATGGCTGTGTGCGTCTGAGACAGTAACACAGCGTCCCCGGCTAAGCCGCACCCCAGATCCCAGTATCACCGGCGTCTCCGGGGGACGGTGATACGGTGCTGCCCTCCCACGGGAGCCGCCGTTCTCCTTCTTACCCGTTCCTCGCTCCTCGGTGTGGTTTTGCTGTCTCTCCTTAACAGCATAGTTCAGTCTCCGTCTTAGAGACGTAGCCAGACAGTGTCATCTCGTGGGTGCTCCGTGCCCCACGTCACATCCCGAGGTTCATCGGCGAGGACCGCCGTAGCACGCGGCGTCCCTGAAGGCCCACGGCGCTCATCCGCTCTCCTGCCTCGGACATCGGCGTGCTTCCTCGGGCCTGGATGCACGGCCACCCTTTCACGAGCCTCCTGACCTACAGGGTGGTCTCTCCGGGGAGCACACCGAGGAGGGAAGCCTGGGCGTGTGCCCTGCGTGTCCAAGCCTACCAGGTCAGGTCAACTTGTTCTCCGATCCCAAGGTTTACGTCAGCCACGGTGGGCTGCCGGGGGGTGAGTCGCTGCTCACCTCAGTCTTTGGCCCTCGAGTGGGAACAGGTGGGCTGGGTCGTGGTTCCTAATCCGAGGGGACACCGTTCAGCCCAGATGATGTGTCTGTAGAACAGGGAGGATCCCGCCCCCCGGGTTGCTGTGATCATGACAGTAGGGGACAGGTGCGCACCTGGCACACGGTAGCAGCCTAGCCTGGGGTGCTTCTGCCCCTTCTCTTCTGCGGCCCTCCTCACGCCCCCCTGCAGCTGTCGGAGCCACAGCCGACTCTCACCAGCCCACTGTGGCTGCCTCCCAAGGGCAGGGGCCGTGTGGGAAACGCCTCGGCATCCCTGCTCCCGGGGCCAGTGCTTGGTGCTCGCAGGCGCTCACCGCCCGCGGCTGGTGGTGGAGGCCACGGCGTCCTCTTAGGCCACCCCGTGGCTCGGGAGGCTCACCAAACTAGGCAGTTCTCACGAGTTTGCCTCGACCCGTGTTTGTGAAGTGGCTGAAGTGCACCAGGGTATCAGTGAGGGCCACTAGATGGAGGCTCTGTTGTTTGCTTGCATATAAGGTGGGAGGGTCCCCTTCCTTTCGTTTGGGGGAAAAAGGTTTGGCTCTAGTCATGTCCTGCTTTGTTTTTATTTTCCTTTTTCCCCAGCAGAGGCCACTGGCAGGCCACCCCGGGCCCTGGAGGAGGCGTTTCTCTTCCACTGGGCATGCCCGGCACAGCCACCTCGGTCCATGAAGGGCGGCCAGAAATGCTTCTCTGCTCCATCCAGACCTGCTTGTCTCCCTGCCTTGAGCTGACATTTAATTAATTTCTGGGCACATGCCTTTGACCCCATAACCAGCGTCAGCCTGTGAGCACCTGGTTCCCTGTTCACTGTGCTTAGCTAGTCTTTGTATTAAGTAGATACATTAACTAGTCAGGAGGCTTTGGGTGCATATAATAGTGGATCCCGTTTAAAATGGCTCAGGGCAAAGGCATTTACTATCTTGCTTCCGAAGGAGCCCAGTGGTGGGGGGGCGGGGTGGGGAGATATCTGGCGTTGGTGAATTCAGTGCCCAGGAGGGGACATCGGGGACCCAGGTTCTTTCCATCTTTCTGCTCTGCCGTCTTGAGGATGTTAGCTCTTGTTCTCACGTGAGTCCTCAGGTCACAGGATGGCCGTACAACTCCCAGCATCACGCACACCTTCACCTGCTAACATCCAAAAGCTGGATGACAGTGTTCCTTCCTGTGTCCCTGTCAAAGGTCAAGAAAAAACACCAGAACTGCCCACCCCCCACAGCAGGATTTCCCGTAGGTTGTGTGTGTCATAAAGCACTTCACGTGCTTCTTCTTAAACCTCTGGTAGAGACCAAACAAGATCTCGCTCCTCGCAGCTCAGAAGGCGCCCAGCCTCCCTGAAGCGTGGGGTAGCTCAGTTCCTGAAAAACCCGAGGATTCTGTAAGCAGGGGGCGTGGGGGGCTGACAGGGACTGACACAGTGGTGGCTGCCACACTCTGTAAATGTGTTGAATCGAGTGCTTAGGATATTGAGTCTTCAAGAATAGTCTAGGAAAGTACGTTCTGCTTTGTGAGTAGAAATGGTCATAGTGACTCCGTGTCGGGGCGGGTGGCTGCGGTGGGCGTGTTCATATCACCCCAGCACAGGCTTGCCACGGGGCCCCGGTGGCCATCCTGTCTCAGCGAGAGGGCTGGCAGGGGTCAGGACTTGTGTCTGTGAGGCAGGGCTATCTGTGTGCTCTTCTCCGCCCGGGAGAGGGACTGGGTTTCAGTTTCTAGCACTCCAAATCAGTTATTGCTCATGACAGCAAACAGGTGTGGTCGTTCGTGTCCTTCAGGTTGTGTGAAGCGAACGCCCACTGCAAGTAGCTCAGATTAATGGGGGGACTCTCGGAGACCCCACGGCAAGAACCATGCAGCATGCATGGCCAACGCTTATGGGGCCGGGACTGGAGAGGGACCGCTCCCGCTGCTTCTTCTGGACCCACAGGGCTTCTCACTGAGGCTTCACTCAGCAGACGGGCTTCCTCTGCCTACCTCCACCTTCTCTACCTTGGCAGCCTCCCCTGCCCGCGCCTAGGCTCCACTGTGACCCAGCTCTGCTCACCCCAATGCCTCCTCTAGCTCGGTACCCCCCAGCACACTCACCGTCCCGCCGTCTCTTCGGCCCCACGCGAAACCCCCAGCCCGTGGACCAGTTCTCCGTGAGGCAGGTCCGTCGGCCGGCCAGAGGGTTTCCTTGGTGCAAACAAGCTGTTGGGGCTGTGGTCTTCCCAGAAGATGTGAGTCAGGGGCAAATATTGGATATTGGCCTGTCTATTGCACTGTACTTGGCTTTCACCTTCGTTCATTTGTCTCTTTTTTTCTTCCAAACTGTACAAGTCGTGCACTGCTACGTGCTTGTTGTAAATACTAAAACGGTATCATGTCCAAGTCCTCCTTGACCACTAACCTCTGAACTTTATTCCTCTTCCAAGATGTAACCATTGCATCCGGTTCTCTGGAAGCTTCCCCGGCCCTTCCTCTCTCTCTTCCCTCTCTGCACACACACACACACACACACACACCTGTATAATTATAGTCTTGCTTAGCGGTGCGTTACGTATGTGGTTTTATGCTGCATGTGACGTCTTCTTCCTGATGCCAAATATGTGCATTTTCCACACACCAGCCAATTCTCCGACACCGACTAGGTGTCCAGCAACTCGACTCAATCCCAACACTAACTCTCCAGAGTCAGCAAAGACCCCCACAAGCCTACTCCCACTTCAGATGACAGCTTCATGACAGGGGCCACCCGTACTCCCCCCCTCCTCCGAGCAGCTACGAATCCAGGGTTCCCACAGCCCCTCGTCAGGTTCAGTAATTTGCTAAAATGACTCATACACCCCAAGAAGACACGATACTAATTACAGTTTAAGGGATGCAAATGAGCAGCCAGATGAGGAGGCATGGAGGGCGGGGTCTAGAAGGGTCCTGAGTGTGGGAGCCTCTGTCCCCATGGAGTTGAGGTATGCCACCCTCCCAGAGGGGGCATTTATTCACCAGCTCTGAAGTTCCTTGAACTTGGTTGTTGAAGGAGTTTTATTAAGGTTTCATTATATAGCCATGATTGATTAGATCACTCACTCTTGATGACTGAATTCAATTTCCAGCTTCTCTCCCCTCCCAGGAGGTAGGGGTGTGGGGCTGAAAGTCATAACCCTCTAACCACTTGGTCTTTCTGGCAGCCTGCCCCCACTGGAAGCTATCTCTGGGCCCTTAAGCCTAGAGTCATCTCATTACCATACAAAAGAGACTCATCACTCAGAAGATTCCAGAGCCCTTAGGAGCTCTGTGTCAGGAACCAGGACCAAGACCTTTTTTTTTTTTTTTTTGGTATTATACTTCATATATGTATTCTGAAATTTGACTTTTTTTAAAACAATATGTCTTGGGATGTTTCTATGTTACCACATCCCTTTGAAAGTTTAGTCCATAGTACAAAAGGATTTTGGAGTACTGACTGATGAGTAGATCACTTGCTTCCATTGTTTCCTACTGCAAACAGCACCAAGTGTCCACACAAAGCACCAAAATTAAATATTCATCAGTAGAGAAATGGGTAAATAAATTATGGTATATTCTTGCAATGGAATAATACATAAAACAGTCAAATTGAACAATTAACTGAATAGTCGCAGACTTTAATGCCCTACTTTTAATAATGGATAGAACCACTAGCCAGAAGATCGACAAGGAGACGGAGGACTTGAACGACCCTATAAACTAACTAAATCTAACAGACATCCATAGCATGCTCCCCCAACAGTGGCAGGACATGCTCTTCTTAAGCACACACCTGGAACATTCTCCAAGATCAGTCATACACTGGTCTGTAAAACTAGCTTCAACAAGCTTTAAAGGATTAAAATAATACAGATCATGTTTTCCAGCCACAATGGCATTAAATTAGAACTACACAACAAAGAAATCTGGGGAATTCACAAATATGGGGGAAATTAAACATCACACTTCTACATAACTAGTGGGTCAAAAAGAAGGAATCAGGAAAGAAAATAGAAAACTTACTTAGATGAGTGAAGATAAAAATGCAACCTACCAAAACATAAGGGATGCAGCTGAAGCAGCGCTTGGAGGGAAATTTATAGCTCTAATGTTTTTACTTAAAAAGATCTTAATAACCTAGCGTTTCACCTTATGAAACTAGAAAAAGAAGAGCAAATTAAACCCAAAGGAAGCAGACAGAAGGAAATAATAGAGATTCGTACAGAAATAAGTGAGTTAGAGAA